GAGTGGTCTGAGGACAGACACTTGGGCTTGAGGGATGTGCCTTCTCAGAGGAAAAACAAAATATAAGAGACTCTGAAAACCTTGTGTGCTCCCAAAGTAAGTGCTCTATTTATGCCGGCCTAGAGCTTCCCTCTTGGAGCCTAGAATAAGGGCCGAGCTGCCTCCTGCCCTGGGAGTTCATGCTCAGTATATCCGGCATAGGGGTAGGCTAAAGACAACACCAATACTCCGCACCATCGAGTCTACAAAAGTCCTGAAGGTGAGGATGCTCTCTTTTCTCCAGGCAGAATCCCAAATGCAGCTCTCACCATACTGGGTATCGAATATGCTGCTACCCTGTTTCCCCGAAAATAAGACAGTGTCTTATATTAATTTTTGCTCCCAAAGATGCGCTAGGTCTTATTTTCAGGGGATGTCTTATTTTTCCATGAAGAAGAATCCGGTACACATTTATTGTTAAATGAAAATAAAGGAAATTTATTACCTGTATATGGTACGGTAGTACGGGAGTTGTCAACACAAACCAGACAAATTGTGAATCCTACAGTATCAAGAATTTACTCATTTAATCAATGACAATCATGTCATCATCTTCTGGAACATCATAACAATCCAATTCCTGAATTTCCTGGTGAATTTCTTGTGACTCCATTTCTTTCAGAATCAGTGGACCAAATCTCTCATGTTTAGCCTAGGGGGGCCTTATTTTCAGAGGATGTCTTATTTTCGGGGAAACATGGTAGCTGAGACTGGGCTTGTTCAGAGATGCATGTCCTCTACCACAAAGAACATGGGCCACTGAAGTTTATCGGAACGGAGCAGGGTTTCACTGAATTTGTAATCATTAGCAATACTACCCACTGAGGAAGCATTTCTTGACCAGGCCAGAAGTTTCAGTTGCCTCAGAGAGATGTAAGTATTCTGGAAAAAGTCTTGCAAGTGTTTTTGATAAGTATCCAAATCTCCTCAGGCCATGAAGATAACAGGATTTTGGGAAAGTTCCCAGTAAGTATCAAGTTTTTATTTAAAAAATTACTATAGAGATTTATATACAACTAGAATATGTGTGTGATAAAAAAAAAATTTCCTAAGATGTTTTCCAGAAGAAGTCTGGCAACATAAATAGAATAGATTAGGACTTGGCGTGTGACATGTGTACTCAGAGCTTTTTGATGACATTTTGAACCCTTTAAAAAGGTCAGAAACACAGAAGTAGAGACTAGATTATTTTGACTCTCTCAGTTACTATGGTCTCAACACGTGGCCCCACGTGCCTGAGTGATGTGGGCTTGATAGAGTTCAGGTGCATGTAACTGAGTAGGATTGAAACCCACGAGAATGTTGTAAACATCTTGACCACGCCCTTACTTCGCCTCATGGCATCTGGTTATAAAATAAAGACACAGCTCGTGCCGAAGCTGGTTTGGCTCAGTGGCAGAGCGTCGGTCTGTGGACTGAAAGGTCCCAGGTTCAATTCCAGTCAAGGTCATGTACATTGGTTGCGGGCACATCCCCGGTAGAGGGTGTGCAAAAGGGAGCTGATCGATGTTTCTCTCTCATCGATGTCTCTAGCTCTCTATCTCTCTCCCTTCCTCTCTGTAAAAAATCAATAAAATATATTAAAAAAAAAAAAAAAAAAAAAAAAGCTCGTCATTGGTGGCACTGTCGAGAGCTCTCTATCAGAGAGGGCAGCGTCCCATAGAGACCCAGCTTTCTTCTCTTGTCCGTCTTTTCTCAATCCTTCCCTGCCCTCTCTCAGGGTCACTGAACCTGGCTGAGCTGGCTCGGCACACATGGCACCCAACATGGGGCTCAGTATGCCATGGCCATGCTGGCTTGCCCAAGAACTGGTCACTTGGCACCACCCAAGAGGAACAGGATTGAAGAGTGCCGTTCCTGCGTGCCTGTGAAGGACAGCATTTGATGCTGACTCACAGAGTCACGGCTACCGTTTTCACAAAGGCAAAAATCACTGCACCCTCACGCGCATGGAAAAAGGGGGCACGTATGATGCTCCTTGAAATCCTTTTGTGAATGTGCAGTCACTAGGTCTTCACCCTCATGGGTCATACTTCGCTTGATGGTGAAATAGTTTTGTTGAAGTACACTTATTTTCCACCCAAGATTCACGAATGTCAAAGAAGAATGGCCCTTTCCCAACCCACTGGGCAAAGGCTGGTGTCTTGCCAGCCTGGATGTGCATCCATCCGCCAATCAGGTGGTGTTAGAGGAAAAGCTTTCTCCACTTCTCACTTCTTGGTTCTGAGAGATTTCTGCTGAGTGAAGACTCAAGATGCACCATCCGTTCAAATGACCTGTGATTCACACCAGGCATGCCACATATCCAACTTCGGGAACTAATGGTCTCCAGTCCACCAATTATTTTCTGTATAGTTAATACAGAAAACGGAGGGAGTAGATTAATCTCTCCGGGGCTTTTTTTTTTTTTGGCATTTCCTCATACTCTGCTGCCCTCTTCGTTAGTTCACGTCTCATTTCCTTGGTGTTATCCTTATCGCTGGTATTGAACTTAGTATCCTTCTCCTCTGGGTCTTCCTTCAATCACCCAGCATCTGCCATTGTACCTTGGGCACGACCATTAGTCAATTAATGTTAATGTTTCTTAAACAAATGAATGGCTAGTTTCATGTTTTGCCCAGTGTAGGACCAACATGGGCAGGCAAGTCAATATCCTAGGTCCTCTCACTTCACTGCTCCCCAAGTCTTGCCACTTTTTCAATCTCCCCTGCCACACTGGGCAGTGGTTTAAAGCAGCAGTGAAACGTGGGGATGTGAGGCAGAAAGTGCAGAATGGCTGTGAGAGGTTCTCACAGTCTGGGATCTAATAGCCTGGACGGTGACTGGAGCTGAGGGACAAGTCCAACAGGGGTTCTGAGAAGACTGTTAGCTCAAAATAAAATGTTTATGTATAGAGATGTCTTTCCCTTTTGTCATTTTATTTCTAGTTTGCTGTACTAGAAATAGTTTAATTTTTAATTTATCCCAATAACTTGGATATAATTCTTTACCCAGTTTAAGCTAATATTGATTTTATCGCTGTGATTTACAAAAGCTGTATTTTGAACTAATCAGCACATCTTTGCATTAAGCTATTTAAATTTCCTGGATTTACATCTTGTCACCTGCCAATTCATATCTGGGATGCTTAAAACACACACACACACACACACACACACACACACACACACACACACAAATATATGCTAATATGCAACAGGTCAGAAGTATTTGTATGCAAAAATTACTCACCCAGTAGAGTAAACTCTTGATTAGTCATGAGTAGAGGGAGTGAGAGTCCTGAAAGCACATAATTCCAAGATCAGTAATCCACTCACAATGCTCTCCCCAGCCCAGCAGATAGAGGGCCTCTAGTACCGTTGGCATTTGGAGACAGAAGCACCTTTGAGCTCATCCTCATTATAAATGCGAAGACTGCCGTCAGTGTGGACTTGTACCAAAGAGCTACCTGCTCTATTCCAGGTGTTCTTTAGTAAGGGAGAAATGATCGCTCTGGATCAATTTTGTCAAATGCAAATAGCAATTGATTGTGCTTCTCCGAATTGCCCCCCAGAGCGGTAGGAGGATGAAATGATTAAAAAAAAAATGTGACGGAGATCTGTAAGTTTAACAGTAAATGATTGAAGAGAGATGCCTTTTGAAGGCTGCAGTGTGCCTACCAGGCATTGGACAAGAGGTTAAAAAGTCTCTACAGCCAAAGAATTTACAATCCAGTTGGAAAGAGAGCTGAGAGCTAGGATAAAATTGGATATTACCCTAAAGACTATGTACAGTTCAATGAAATTTTAGTGATGGTGGAGCATTGTACACTCAAAATTGCAGGAAAAGTGGTGTGAGGTGGTTGGTGGTGGTGGGGGGGTGGGGGTCATGCATTTTTTTTTTTTTTTGGCTTTTCCCAATGGATTGATCTTAACAACGGCAACTACTAAATAGCACCCTAGCTCAGTGGTCAGCAAACTCATTAGTCAACAGAGCCAAATATCAACAGTACAACGACTGAAATTTCTTTTGAGAGACCATTTTTTAAAGTTCTTCTAACGCCACTTCTTCAAAATAGACTCGCCCCAGGCCGTGGTATTTTGTGGAAGAGCCACACTCAAGGGGCCAAAGAGCCACAGTTTGCCAACCAGTTGGCCTGCGGATGAAGTGTCTCAGGTTGATTCCAGTCAAAAAACATATGCTCCGGTGGCAGGCTCGTTCCCCACCGTGGGGCATGCAGGAGGCAGCCGATCAATGATTCTCTCTCATCAATGATTCTGTCTCTCTCCCTCTCCTTTCCTCTCTGAAATCAATAAAAACATATTGTTAGAAAAACGATAACTTTCTCGTATAATGGATGCTTTGTTTCTGTTCAGTGAAGAGGTCAGTGAAGATGGCAGATGAGCAGCCAACACTGTGCCGAGGAATAGCGTCCCTCCCAACAGTGTTGTGGCAAGCTGGTGAGAGATGCCTGCCTCACTAGGTCACCTCCTAGGGCCCCTGCACCGCTGCTGTCACTTCCACCCTCATTCCCAATGCTATGCGGTCTATCCAGACAGAACCCGCTGGGCCCTGATGGGCCCAGAGCACACGCGGGAGCAGCCTGGGGGGGGCCCACCTTGAAGCCCCAGGATCCTGGGACACCCTGGAAGGAAGCCGATGGGCCACACCCAGCACCGGGCCCCCATTGTGTCTTGGGGAACAGCTGGCTGCCCCTCCTCAAAGGGAGCGGATGGCAGCCTTTGAAGCGGGAGAGGAGGCGGGGCAGGTGCAGGTGCAGGTGCAGGTGCAGGAGCGGAGCCGCAGCCTCTAGGGCCGCGCGGGCGCCTCGCGCTCCCGGCCCGCCCGGCGCCGCGGCCGCCGCACCTGGAGGCGGAGCCAGCCCCGCAGCCCGCGCCGCGCCCGCAGCCCCCTCCCCGCCTCCCCGCGCCCCGGACCCGCCTGCGGGAGCCCGTCCTCCCAGGACCTCCAGCCGGGCCGCCATGGAGCACATCCGCACGCCCAAGGTCGGTGCGCCGGCGCGGGGAGGAGGGCGGGCGGGGATGCTGAGCTGGCGGGAGGCCGCGGCCGCCCGCATCCCGGGGGGAGGCAGCGCCGCCCGCCGAGCATCCATCTCCTGGTTCCCCCGGAGCCTCAGTCTCCCCTCGCTGCCTCCAGGCCCGGCCTGGGCGGATGCTGCACCTGGCCTCTTGTCCTGGAGGGTGCTCGGTGGACCCAGGGGTGGGCGGGAGGGAACCCCAGTTGTCTGTGGAGCAGCGAGGCTGCTGATCTGCAGACAAACGCTCCTTTCTGAAACCTCACCGTTCTGCTGCTGGCTTTTTCATTTCTGAAAATTGCCCCTTGGCAGCTCTGAGCTGGAAAGAGACATAAGCCTTCCTGATGGCAGGTGCAGGGCATCTGCGTATGTGCAGGTGGAGGGGATGCACCGGAAGCTTGTTGATTCTAAGGGTTCAGACCCCCCCCCCCCCAAATTCCCCCTGCTTCTTCTCCCCGTCCTCCCCCCCCCCCCCCCATCATCAGGCCATGAGCTGCATTAGGCCTTACACAGGGCGGATGATCAATATTCACTGCAGATTCGATGTTATCAATCCTTCAATCCTTTCCTCTTCCTACCCTTTCCGGCCTGTCTGCTCCCTTGGGGAGAAGAGTGCAGCTTAGGGGTTCGTCCGCTGGTGTGTTTTGAACCCCAACTTTTGAACCCAAGGGAACGCGAGGGACCCCTGGCCATTCCAGCTAAAGAACGCCCTCCCAGACCCTCCCACTCACAATGTGCCAGGAACATAATTCAGATGGGAGGTGATCCACTCCCCTAAAAACTCAGCCAGCGAAAGACTTTCTGTGAAAAGCCTATTGGCTCTCTCTTCGACCACAGCAGCTATTTCGTTTCCAGCGTGAGCTCTTATTCCTAATCCAGGATCTGGGCAGTTAAGTGGAAGCTGGGTCTGAGTGGTTCCAACAGTGGTGGGCAAACTGTGGCTCGCGAGCCACATGCGACCCTTTGGCCCCTTGAGTGTGGCTCTTAGGCCAGCATAGGAGTACCCTAATGAAGTCAATAACAATGTACCTGCCTCTATAGTTTTAAGTTTAAAAAAATGTGGCTCTCTAAAGAAATGTCAATCGTTGTTCTGTTGATATTTGGCTCTGCTGACTAATGAGTTTGCCGACCCCTGGGCTAGAACTAAGGTAGCCCCAGGTCTCACGGGGGCGAGGGCACCATTTCTTACCGGACTTGGTAAAAGGAGGAAGAAGTGTTCGTTCCCTTTTAGATTCTGGAATGGCTCCTGAGTAAGCACCCCTTTGTAAAAGCGGCTTTGCAATGGCCCGTGTCAGTGGAGGGACAAACCGTTCTGTTTGCTAAAGAATGTCCGCTCCAACAGTAAATGTGAGTTGTTTTCATTTTGCCCGATGGAGTTAAAGTGTTGCTTCACGGTCGGGAAATTGTAAACGTAGAAGGGAGTGCTGCCATAAACCACAAGGTAGGTGGCTCCGAGCTTTCAGAGTCTGAGTGCTGCTGAATAATTTATCCCAGAATGATGACACGAACCACGGATTCTCTCTGCCCTTGCCAAGGGCAGCCCTTCTTCGTAGTTTTCCGACAGCATGTGAGTTTGGGAGGGGGAGTGAAGGCCTTTCTGGCCCGTTTTCAGGCTCACCCTGTACAAAACCACGTGTGTAAACCCGGGAGGCAAGCTGTATTCTTTCCTATTCTTAAAACTGGTTTTCATAAACACCTTCTAAGCGGTGTAGGACTTCAAATCAGAAGTCCCCTTCCATCAGGAAATGCAAAGAAATGGAGAACTGTCTGAAAGGTCATTGAATTGAAGGTCATTAACATTTAGGATGATGCGGGTGGAAACAAACCCCCAAACCATAGAGATTGGGTGGATCCGGTTCATTTTTTTATTCATTTCATTCCACAAGTATCTGTGAACGTTGGTGTGCCAGGCCCTGTGTTAGGTCCGAGAGAGCATGAGGCATCACGGAGTGCCCAGGCTGGAAGAGGAAGCAGCTATAAGTCTGGACAAGCCTGTGTACAAGGACCGTGGGCAGAGAGGGGAAAAGGCAGGGGAAATGAGCTCTACCATAAAGGGCTGGGGGTGCTTTGTAAAGAGCTGGGTCTTAACGTGCAAAGAGGCATGGAGGACCGGGAACAGTGGCGACAGCTGTCATTCATTGTGTGAATGTGATGCATTGTAATCAGCCCATTACAACCTCCAAGAAGCTGAGAGGCGAACAGGGATGATACAGAAATGACAATGTGACTCCTAAACAGCATCTCTTCGCATTTTACATTTTTAAGTGCAAAATGCAAGTTCACGGTCCAAACGAAAAAGAGAACAAGACCACTTGCAGAGAGTTTATTGCAAAATATATAATTATTGGCGGTCATCTATTCATCTTTATCTCATGCTTCTGTTACACTCTAGGGTGCTGAATAGGTAGCTTGTCTTAAACTTCACGATTTCATGTCTTGGGTGAAAGTGTACACAGAGTTGTTTCTCTGACCCACGCTGGGCTTGAAGTGACATTGACCACGTGGGTAAGCAGGGGCTTATTTTAAGAGGAAAAGAAGTGCACGCGTGTATTATGTACCGTTGCTTTCCTGCTATAGTGAAAGTCATTCGCTTGCTCTTGGTAAATTCTGTGATCTCCATCACAACCTCTTGTGTCTGCCTCGGTGTCGGGAGGAAAGCTTAAGGAGACAGATGCACGTGAATAATTTGGAGTGCTTGCGATAGTTCTTCTTGGGTGTGTGTGTTTAACTGGAGGCTCTAACGGAGCATATGCTAAGCAGAGTGTTTCTCTCCCAGAATGGTTTCTCTAGAGCAGTGATTTGCAACCTTTTTTTTAAAATATCTCATGGCACACATAAACTAATTATAAAATACTAGAGGCCCAGTGCACCAATTTGTACATGATTGGGGTCTGGCCAGCACAGCCCCAATTGGTGGATTTGGGCTAGGCCTGTCGGAAGGAGGAGAAGGTGAGAGGTTGGCCAGCTGGCCTGGCCATGATAAGTGCCTGATTGGGGCAGGGCCAGCTGGGGAGAGGGGCTGGGGAGGGAGAGGGAAAGGGGAGGCTGTGGGTGGGATGTTGGTGAAGGGGCCAGAGGCCTGGGGGAGGGGCCATGTGTGGTTGGCTGGCTGACCCTGCCCCTTATCAGTGTGAGGGGCCTGATCAGGAGTGGAGCTGGTTGGGCAACCGGGCCCTGCCCCTGATTGGGGGAAGGGGCCATCAGGGGTCAGGCCAGCTGAGGGGAGGGGTTGGGGGCCAATCAGGGTGAGGGTGGCCCATTGGGGGTGGGGCTGGTCAGGGGGAGGGGCCCCAGGAGGTTGGCTGGATAGCCCCATCCCAGATCAGGCTGGTTTGCTATCCACAGTGGGCTCCATAGGTACTGTTTGTTATGGTCATTACGGTGTTCGGTCGCTGGCTTTTTAGATAGATTAATAGATAGATAGATAAATAGATAGATAGGTATTTTATATTTTATATTTTTTGCTGATCTGACAAAAAATAGGTATTATTTTGTTCCATTCACACCTAACAGCTATTGTTGTGTTGACTGTTGTCACTATTTTTTTTGACAATCTAAGGGGGAATTGCTGATCTATAGAATTTATGTTCCGGAAACAAACTAGTTGGCAGTTAGGTTGAAGTGAGAACACCAAACATTACCTAGACTCATCGCGGTGAACTCTTTGGTTTCTACTTCACTGTCTGGCTCCCTTTACCCCTGGGAAAACTTGCTGGTAAGAAAATCCTCTGCTGGGACAATTTGGGTTCAAGTGCTACTTAGTTGTTGAAAGTTTTGGGGCTGTGTTTGTAGACATGGCTTGGTCCTGGGTGCAATGCTAGTGGTCCTAGGATCCTGTTAAGCAATCTCTACTTTTTTTGCGTTGGTCTTTCTGGAAGGCATTTTCCCCCAAAGGTGTAAATCTAAGTTGTAAAACGGAATGTGATGACTTTTCAAAGCAGATCTTGAAAATACCTTCTCTTCCTTTCCTCTTAACTTCCCTAATCCAAGCTACTACCTAATAGCCTCCAAATTGATGTCCTAGTTTCTTCTTTCTCTCCTCTAACCCCTTCTCCCTGGAGGGAGCCTGGGTGATGCTTTCTAGACCAAAGTTGATTGTTAGTTTCCTGCTCAAATTCTTGGTGGCCTCCCTTTGTATCAGGATATAAAGTGAGAATCCCCAGAGTGGCCCATGAGGCCTTGTATGGATGAATCTCTTTTTACTTCCCCGCTCTCACCTGTGAGTCTTCTCATTATGTACTAACCATTGGTCACCACTGGCCTTGTGGGTTTCTTGAAGGTGTTAGGTCTTTCCGGCCTCAGGACATTTGCACTGCCCTTTCATCATGGGAATGCTCTGGCCTCACTCTTCACCTGGTCAAATCCCTCCCCTTTGAGATTAAATATTTCCTCTAAGAGGCTCTTGCCCAGTTCCCCATCTAAGTCAGAACTGCTGGTTGTATTCTCTCGCAGAACCCAGTACTTTACCTCCCACCCCTGGTTACACGTTTTATATTTATTTGAGTGATTGATGATTTGTTTTATGTCAAGCTCCCCTGCTAAAGCAGGAGCCCTGTAAGGGTGAGGATTGTATGTTGTTCACCCCTCAACCCAACCCAGCTGCTGGCAGCAAGTAAGCACACACTGCTAGTAAGTAAATTAACACTCAGATAACAGAAAGAATGAAACAGTCTTGGTTTCAGCACTTAGGCGTTTAGTGTTTGCTGTAGTAATCCAGGCCTCATGTACCCTGTACCCATGACTAATCACAGCACTGTTAGTCTTCTAATAAAACTGGTGCTAAGTATTAGAGAATGTCAACGTATTCTGTACAATAAATAACATATATGTATATATGTTATGATATGTATTTTGTGATGATATGAGGTATGATATGAGTTTGAATGAGGTAGAATTCAAATAACATTCACCATTTAAGTAATTTAAAGTGTACAGTTCAGTGCTTTTCAGTCCATTTTTCATGTTGTGCAA